GTCTGTCTGTCTGTCTCTCTATCTATCTCTCTCTCTTCTCTCTCTCTCTCTATATATATATATATATATATATATATATATATATATATATATATATATATATATATATATATATATATATATATATATATATATATATGTATATATATATATATATGAGGTATACATGGCAAGAATAATTTATTTATTGAATTCAGTTAACAAAGTGTGTTTAGCTATATATTCTATTTTGTCAAATTTTAAGATAAGATGTCGTATATATCAGGATCAACATTTTGCATTAATTTATGATTTGTTTGGGTTTTGTTTAAATAATTTTGACCGTCTCAGTCATTATCAAGAACTACGTATTGTTACATCTGTCTATTTTCTGAGATGAGTTAATGTACTTCAACCAAAAGTTTTGTCCAAGGAGACATGGCCTAGTGGATAAAAACCTCGGTTGAAGTAATCCACTGACTTGACCTAAAGGTTTGTCAGTTTAATACCTGGCCACAGTAGAGTTCAGCAAAAACTTGGATAGTTGTGTTACAAAGGGAAATAACTGAAACTGAGATATCAAGCATGGCACGTGGAACGAGAACAATCTAAGTGGACTAAACTAAAGAGTTGGGTTGAAATACCAGCGTCTATCGCATGAAGAGGCTCGGGTCGTACAACGGGCGAAACCTCGTGAATACGACAATAAAGATGAGGATAACAGTTCAAACAATGTAAATAGTTGCGTATTGTAAGCATATTAGACATGATTTTGTTGACTACAACGTAATATTTTTAGGAACATTCTCGGATAAATTGGTTTAGCACAGAAAACCGGAAAACTATGCACTCATTATATATATATATATATATATATATATATATATATATATATATTTTATTTAAAATATGATTCCAATTCGCGACATAAGAGGTCTCATGTTTCAAAACATGAGCCGAAAACTTCAATATAATTATTTGAATTAAATTGAGTTAAAGTAATCTCTGTTCCATCTTCAAGCGAAATTTTGTTTTGAAACATGAGACCTCTTATGTCGCGAATTGGAATCATATTTTAAATAAATAATTATATTTATGCTCTACTTCTGTCGAGCACTATTTTTTAAAATAATAACTAAAATACTAAGGGACTTTGGATTATTTACCTAACCAGTTCCTTCCTATTTTCTATATATTTTCACACAAAACACACACACACACACACATATATATATATTGATTTATACGAATATATATATATATATATATATATATATATATATATATATATATATATATATATATATATATATATATGCATATATATATATATATATATATATATATATATATATATATATGAAAATTTATCCGATTCAACCAGTAGATTCAAGATAATATTTATGAATAAAAATGTCAATAGGAAAACTAGTAATTGCTGACGCGTTTTGTCCAATGCCGACTTTATCAAAGCAAAATACGAAATGAATATCTCAAGGTAACTAATAAAACAAAAACAGAATGTTAGTAGCAACTGGAGTGTGGAGAAACGCTATTTTCATATTGTTAACTGAAAATAACGTCAGTATATGTCACGTGTTGCTAGTAACATTCTGTTTTTATTTTATTAGTTACCTTATATTATATTCATTTCGTGTTTTGCTTTGATAAAGTCCGCATTGGACGAAACGCGTCCGCAATTACTAGTTTTCCTATTGCCATTTTTATTCATATATATATATATATATATATATATATATATATATATATATGGTTTCATACGAATATAAAATATTTTATATGCACTTCAAAATAAAGTTTTCTTTGGTGCTAGACATTTAATAAGAACTTCGAGTATTTGCCTTCCCTTACAGTAGTAGTTCTATAGTAGTTTGGCAATATTTGTAGATAATATCAGATTTAACAAAATTGTTTAAATCTCTCTCTCTCTGTCTGTCTCTCTCTCCCTTTCTCCATCTCTGTCTCGTTCTCTACCATTCTTCCGAGAATCTTCTTGACTGAAGCTACAAACAGATATCTGCACTCGATAACAGAAACCACATCTCTTGAAGACTTTCAACAGCAGCTATATAACTCGAAGAGAGAAAAAAAATGACATAATCTAGATGTTGACATTCCACACTAGTTCAAATAAAAGGTTAGCACTCGAGTGACCTGAGATAAAATCAACCAGTACTTTTATTAAAATACAAAACAAAAAAACGGGGACGATGCCAAATATAAGGACAAATTATAAGAATAACCGAAGAGAAAATGACGCAGCCACTTGAATCCGAGGATGCCAGTTCTTCTAGAGCGGGTAGCTAATCCCCATTACAGACTCCTGCTCAGGCACATTTGCGTTTGTTCAACACAGATAAAACCCTCTCTTGTTTATACTGCAACTATGCTGAGCGGGAAAGAGCACGTTATCTACAGTCCGAACAAGGCCAGCTCTCTCACACCCTCGGTCACGATGACTTGTGATTTCGTTCTAGCACAACCACCGACGGCTCCCAAGTTTAACTTACAAGGCTTGGGCAACCCGTTTTATGGTTTTCAGACACTTTCCAAATGTGCCCTTCCAGACCGATATCTTCAAGAATCTTGGGGAATTCGAAACCAGGTTTCAGAAAGAAGCGAACGTTCTAACCAATCGGCCACGTGCACATGACCGAAGAATAATACAGAAATTAAAAAGTAAAAGTAGCACTGACAGTCAGTCTAGCTCAGTTGTTCTCAACCTATTTTGACCAATGTTCCCTTTTTATCATAAGTCAGGATGTCATCCCCTCCATTTCCAAGACTGTCCGACTAAAAAGGAGCGTTCCAAATAATATGCAAATAATATGCATATATTACTGTTGAAACTTGACTAATGCGTGGAATAATAATACAACACAAAATGTACTTAGAACAAAATGTATTGAAACAAGAAAGTGTACAAAATATTTACATATAGTCTTTGTATATTCTTGGGAAGACCGTTCCTGGAGAATGTGTTGACTTAGTCGCAGTCGGCAGAGTCTCTGGATTGAATCTCTCGATTCCTCTCACCGTCTTCCCGGTACCAACCATATTTATATGGTCGGTACTCCACTATGCAAATTAGGTAGATCCTACCACAACAATTACTGAAAAATCTTCATTATTTTTCCCTAATAGTACGGATACATTGACATGGATTATTTTTGTAGTGGCAAAATCAAAAGAGCGAGCTGAAAGAAAACCCAGTGTGACCTCTCAGTCACGCAGACAGATGAGCATTGCGAGTTGTTCCGCCTTCGGAAGTTCAAATGTTAACATTTTGAGTCTACCAATCTGTGACCCCAATTCCCTCCACCTGATATTTTTTCCCAAGAGGGGTGTTATACTTCGTACTTGAGTTTTATTAATTTAACTCAGACACACGTGTTAGTACAATTTGTTCAATCCGCCATTTTAGCTTCTACTGATAATAAAATTAAAGGGACACAACTCTCTAATTTTCAATAGCTCCGGTTAAAGGCGGAAATCCGCACTGATTGAGAACTCCTGGTCTATAGATACTAGTGATGTTTCATAAGGTATAAACGAGTGAAATAATATATGATGCGCAGTTAAAGATCTTTATAAAAATGTATTATCCCAACTATTTAATGTGTATATGAAAAGAAAGATAACCCGAAATTATATTCGTAGATTCTACAAACCTTAGCAGCTTTTGGATGCGCATTGCTGAGGAGTCCCAAAAAAGACGAAATTGCCGTCCAGTGTTTTCTGCATTCTGTTGAGGATTCTTCTAGTCTCGATGAATTATTATGAATAATTATTTCCACCCCACCCCCAATTTCTATCACTTATATATCCTTGCTAGATTCAGCTTCTAACCCTCTGGAGGGAGTGGCGTGGTGAATGAAGACGTTGTTCTTGGGGCTCTATCCGGTGGGTTATTGTGGTGTACTCCCTCTAAAGTGTCTATGTTGGGCTCTTCTGCCTGCTATAAGATTAGTAGGAGAGAAGGCATTGAGGGAACAGTCGAATAGATTGTTTAACTGTCAAACTCTCTGCCTCGGCAGAGATTAACTAGGACGAAGCTTTGCCGCAGGGCAAATTTTCGTCCGGGGAGGTAGACTGTCCCTGAACCCGTTTATACGGGTTTAAAGGGAATATTTTTGGCTGAGCTTACAGGCTCGGAGAAACCCACGTTAAACTTGGCCTTGTGCCACATACATTCCTTGTGAGGGACTGTTTTATATAACAGTCGAATAAATTGAACGCTGGGTCAACCGACACAAACTCACTAGTCGTGTAATACTCTTCTGTTGTACTTACTGTTAATATATGATATATCTGCAACACTTGTCTTGTTATTTCTTTAACCATTTATTTGGTCACAAAAGTTATGTATACTTGGATGAGTATCACCATCGGAATCGAGTAAGTAGCTGCCCTACTTTGAGTCTAGTTATTTCTTCGTCAGCGAGGCCTGTTAGACCAGAGGTATGACTATTGATTTGTATCGTAACGGTTGTTTTCTCCGTAGTTGTTGCGTACTGCTGAGGAGTCCCAAAAAGAACGAAATGGCCGTAATAGTTTTTATGCCAAATTTGCTGAGTTTTTTTCCTGTAATTTACTGGTGGATAAAAAAAAAATTAAGCAGGCACTTTTTTCTCATAAATTGCTCAATATCAAAAGATAAAGCTAATGTCGAGAAAGTTTTGAAAGTGCATTGCAGTAATATTTTGACTCTTCAGCAGTGAAGAGAAGTCAATTGTCCTGAAGAGTGAAAGCATTACTGCAATGCGCTCACGAAACCTCGAAGTCGGCATGACTGAACCATCACCACTCAGGTAAGTGATAAGTTTCTCCACATTTATTCTCTCTCTGTCACTATATATATATATATATATATATATATATATATATATATATATATATATATATCAGTGTGGGGTGTGCGGCGTCTGAAATGTGGAAAGGAAGAAAATTGAAATTATTTTCAATAATATATAAATACATTTTTCTAGTTGTCATTTACC